TGGGGAGTGGAGGGCAGCTTCTTCCTGGGAAACTGGTTTGGAAGGGAGGCCCTGTCTAGGTGTGGGGCCACAGCTTCCAAATTCTCCTCCCAGATTTCAAGGGCAGGCTGTCCCTCTCCTCCCTGCAGGGAGAGAACAGAAGTTTCTCCCACACCTGCCTGCAGGTGGAGAGCGTTGGGGGTGGGGGGCAAGCAGATCTGAAATGGAGATTGTTGGTTAAGGGATGAAGTGGGACGGAGTCAGCAGCTTCTCCAAACCTCACGATCATTGAGCCACTCCGCTGTGGGAGAACTGGGGGCGGGAGATGGGTCAGCACTTCTTTACTTTCCACACTTGGTATGACCAGTGTCCCAGAGCGTGGCTGAGCATCGCTGGAGGGCAAGGCAGGGCTCCTGCCTCCCACAGAGCCCTGGTCTCCTCCCTGCTCTGGGAGCCTGGCTGGCCCAGCACCGTGTCTGCGCTCAGAGAGTCGGGCGGACTGCAAAGGAGGAGCTCCCGGGGGGGGGGGGGGGCTCCTCCTGGCACCCGGTGCCCTGTGGAGGAAGGGGGAACGATGGTCAACTGTGACGCGATCTGACCCTGAGAGAGATGGCTGCGCGGGTCCTGGGACACTGGGGCTGGTCTGAGAGGGGGAAGCAGCAAGGGCAGTCCCCGGGGCCAGCCCTTCTGCTTGGAGGGCCTGCACCTCCTGGGCTGGGTGGGTAAGCCCCTCTCTGGACTGCATGTCCAGCCCAACCCACATAGATGCTGCTCAGGCCACCTGCCACGTGCCTCTGCTGAGGGACCACATCCTCCATCCCACAGAGGGGATCAAGGACAGGCGTGTGTTCGTGCCACGCCGGTCTCCCAGTATTGCCTCGCTTACTCTCCACCATGAACTGGCAAGGTGCAGCTGTCCCTCTGTTCTGCAGGAGACAGGCCCTTCCTGTCCCCCTGCTGCCTGGCCGGGTGACAAGCCTGGAAGCCGCCATGGTCCTCCCCAGCCATCTCCAGTCCCCGAGTGTCCTCTATCCACTGTCTAGTCTCTTCCCCTGGCCACGGGGAGGTGACCTCCCTGTTGATTATCACGTCCTGCTGGTGAGGTCTCCCTGTGTGTTCCTCCTTCCTCCACAGGGCACCGGGTGCCAGGAGGAGCCCCTCCCCGGGAGCAGCCCACTCACTTCAAGCCGCCCAGGGCCGGCACCCCGAGAGGACCAGGTCTGGAGGACAGGCCTTGGGGGAGACCCGGCCTCCTCTCTCCCCTTGGGAAGCAGCTGCCTGAAGTACCTGACCTTCCTGTTCAACTTCCTCTTCTCTCTGCTTGGTCTGCTGGCCCTGGCCGTTGGGCTCTGGGGCTTGGCTGTCAAAGGGTCTCTGGGGAGTAGCCGGGGGGCGGCCCTGCCCGAAGACCCCTTGCTGGGACTGACACTGGGGGGGCTGGTGGTCAGTGCAGTGAGCCTGGCGGGCTGCCTGGGTGCCCTCTGCGAGAATGCTTGCCTGCTGCACTGCTTCTCTGGGGGTCTCATCGCCTTCCTGGCGCTGGAAGCTGTGGTGGGTGCCTTGCTGGTGGCCTTCTGGGGCCCGCTGCAGGATGGCCTGGAGCCCACCCTGCGTGTGGCCATCACCCACTATCAGGATGACCCGGACCTGCGCTTCCTCATTGACCAGGTCCAGCTGGGGCTGCAGTGCTGTGGGGTGTCTTCCTACCAGGACTGGACGTGGAACCTGTGAGTCCTGGAGCCCATGGGGAAGGGGGGCGTCCCCAGAGGCCAGCAGACCGGACTGCACGTGCACTCACATGGATGCACTCACTCACACACATGCTCACTTGTACGCACACACGAGTGTGTGCACACGTGCCCGTGCACACACGTGGGCCCCCGGGTGTTTCTGCTCCCTCCAACCAGGACCAGGTGGACAGGGCTCTTAGTGGAGAAGCTGAGCCAGCAGACTTAGAAAGTCAGTTTGGCGAGTGTTTTTGGTAAGGTCATCATACAAGACGTCTCAATGTCAAATGCACTTGTTAAGTGGGGACATCGTTCCGGACTCCACAGTTCTCCCTCCACAGCGTGTGCATGTGTGCGTGTCTGTGTGTACACGTATGTGTGTGTACATGCTTGTCCATATATGCGTGTCTGGTGCGTGCGTGTGTGCCTGTCTGTGTATGCACGTATGCATGTGTGTATGCTTGTTCGTGTCTGTGTGTCTGCATGTGTCTGTGTGCATGTGTGTCTATGTGTCTGTGTGTGCATGCATGTGCGTGTGCATGGTGGTGTGTGTGTCTCTGTGTCTGCACGTGTGCATGTCTGTGTCTGTGTGCACAAGCATGTGCGTGTGCATGCTTGTCTGTGTGTGCGCGTGTGTCTGTGTGTGTGTATGAGTGGGTGTGTGTAAGTGTTGTCTATTTAGGAACACTGGGCAGTGTATCTTTTACATTTTGCTGGAGGACAACTGACCACGAGAGAGGGAGTCCTACAGAGACTTGAAAACCAGCCACTTGTGTCCAGCAGTCACTGAAACGTGACAAGGGTTCTAGAAGCATCCACATGGGTGTTCTCATTCATGGGCTGTGTGTGACTTCGGATTGGTGGCAGCCCCCTGTGGTGTCACATGGTCACCCATCCTACTGGCTTTTGAGTCCTTGCCTTAGTGAGGCCCACTCTTCTGGGGGATGAGAGCATGCCTGGGAGGGAGGGCAGGTGCAGGACCGTGGACCCCAGTCAAAGGCCAGGGACGCTTGGAGGAGGCTGCCTGGAGCTGGGGCCCGTGAGGAGAGCCCGTGGCTGCCGAGTGCTGCCCCTCGGCCTCCCGCACCGACCCGCTGACGGGCACGGCGACCTCTCCCAGGCTTCAGCGCATCTTCTCCCCTCCGGTTCTGCCTGCTCAGACCAACTCAGCAGCCCCTATCGGGCAAGGCTGTCTGATTCCCACCCCTCATCACATGCTTGTCTCCTCTTCAGCTGTCTCACCAAATATGTCCCTTCCTGCCAAGAGGCTTTGACATCTGCCTGCGTGTGCAGGTGCCGGGATGAATCACAGGAAGCTGTTATTGTGTGTGCACAAGTGTGTGTGCGCATGTGCATGCGTGTCTGTGGGGCGTGGACGTTTGAAGGGCCGGGAAGAGACACCTGACTCAGCGCCGGGCCCCGAACAACGGGCCCTGCCCTCCGGACCGATGCCCAGATGTACTCTTACAGGTACTTTAACTGCAGCTCCCCTGGGGTCCAGGCCTGCCGCCTTCCCGCCTCCTGCTGCATCAACCCCAGGGAAGATGGCGCGGCTGTCAACCCCCCGTGTGGCTTCAGAGCTCTGGGCCTGGATGAGGATGCTGCTCAGAGACGGGTGCATCTGCAGGGCTGTGGCCCTCCACTCCGAGGGTGGCTGCGCAGGAATGTCCGGGCTGTGGGTGCCTGCACAATCGTGGTTGTGGTCGTGCAGGGGGTGGAGCTCCTGTTGGCCGCCCAGCTGGTGAGGGCCCTGGCTGTCCGTCGGGTGGGGGGTGGAGAGCCCCAGAACCGCGGGGACGGAAAGGTCCCCTGCCAAACTGGCCCAGGGCTGACAGCCCTGTAGGACACCCAGGGAAGGTGTCGGAGTAACCACGCTGGGTCTCAGGCACCCGGGCCTCCTCCACCTGCTGTACCTCCCACTCCACAGGGGCCCATTTCCCTGAGGGCAGGCCATGCCCACCTCCTTCCCGGTTCTGTCAGGCCCCGCAAGGATGAGTCCCTGTACCACCACCTGATTTCACTCTCTTTTGGAGACATTTGTTCTCGACCACGGAGCCCTTGCAAACACCGCGTGGCCTGTGTAAGCCACGCCTCCCACGGGGGATGCCAGGCAAAGCTACCTGGCCGGTGGGGAGAGTACAGGGCTCTGAGGACTGGATGAAATCCTGCCGGCAAGCCCCCAACTCCAACTCCCACCCCTGACTGTCACCTCCAACCACCTCCCTGCTCCCAACCCCCATTCTGACCCCACCTCTGAGGCCCACCCCGGTGGCCCCACTCCCTTACCACCGCCTGGCCCCTTCCCATCCATTGTGGTGGCCGAGGGCGAGGCCCAGGCAGGAATAAGTTTTACTGAGCTGTATCATTCAACAGTAAATGGCACCTGTCTCAAGTGGGCAGCGTGAGGAACTCGTCCCTCCGTAAACCCGTGCGGACCCACGCCAGGTCAGGAGCCAGCCGCGGCAGGCTGCTTCGCCTCCTCCCTGGGGGCACCCCGACTGGCCCTCGTCACCTTCAGTTAGGTGGCTTTTTCTGGCTTTCACATGAATGGGACCCCAGAGGGCCCTTCCCAAGAGTCACCATCTGGTCCCTGCTGTGTGAACAGGCCCCACAGACGCACCTGGTCCACGTGGACACACACTTGGCGGGCTCCCGGATGGCGGCTGCCACTAGGGACTTTCACCAGGCCTGTGTGTGCGGGTGCGCCTGATCCCCCCAGGTGTGGCATCAGGCATGGAACCCTGGGTCACCGGGCGGGTGCCTGGCCAGAGGTAGTGGACAGCTAAGGACAGGCTGGCTGGGCCACTTAGCGAATTCCCCGATCTCTCTGCACCTGTTTCCTCACCTGTGAGGCAGGGTTGAGGGCTCCCTCCTCCTCACATGAGCTGTTGCGGGGCCTCATCCGCCTCCTTGGGGAGGACTGCTCCAGGGGCCGGGCATGCACGCGACTGCCTCCCAGCCTAGCCGGCCTTGCTGCATGGACCCCCGGCCACCACAGGCCCAGACGCAGCATTTAGTGGGTTTCCTTCCCTCTCAGCCTGGCCAGGCCCGTGCTGCGCCCACCAGCCTGCACCTTCAACCTTCATCCCTACGCTCCTCCTGGAGACCCACGCCGTCGGGCCCTGCCCCCACCCACAACACAACCCACTCCAGCTGAGTGCGCGGGGGCGTGCGGAGTTTATTTTGAAACAGGGACAGCAAGCGTGGGCCATGTTGGAAAGGACGTTTCCTGCAGATGATGGGTTTGGAGGGGTGTTGGTCGGATGCCACCAGGACTCCCCCAGCCCCCCACTCCAACCCAAGGGCAGCAGCTGGGAAGGGCCAGTGAGGGGAGCTTGGTCTCACCACCACACAGCAGGACGGGAGTGGGCTGGGAGGGACATTCCTGGGAGACCCTGCCCTGGCTTTCCAGCCCTAAGACAAGGTCTGTGGGCCAGTGTTTCTGGAAGCTAAGCAGGGCCTGACTGGCCCCAGGGTGTCCTACAGGGAGCTGGTGGGCTTCTGGTAACTGGCATCTGGGGGCCTGAGGTTGCCACCCTGCAAGGGTCTCCAGACACAAACTGGGCAACCTGGACACCCTCAGGGGGGCCGGCCTCCTCACAGGAATCCTGAGCAGGGGCGGCAGCGGGCAGCAGGGGGTACGGCCCTGAGGCTCTGGGTCAGGCTCTGGAGCTAGATGATGCCATACTGGGCCAGTTCGTGCAGCTCCAGGTGGTTGAAGGCCTCCCATGGGCAGATGACCGTGATGTCTGCAGGAGAAGAAACAGTGGCACCAGGAGGCTCATGGCCCCAGGGGCCACCACCCCCTCCATGGCCTGTTATCTACACCCCAAGTGGTGAGAGCAGAAGTCCTGGGTGGGGAGCCCTTCCCCCAGGGCACGCCAGCTTGAGGGTGTCGAGTGGAAGAGGATGGATGCAGCACGCCAGGGAGGAGAGAGGGGGACATCAAGGCGTCCTTGTTGCTTTCCAGCCCCCCCCAAGTACCCGGTGAACCCACTGAATGGGAGCAGCCCCACCTCTGTGAGGCCTAAACCTTGATGTTGGGGCAGAGAAGGAAGGACGGGCTTGAGGCAGTGCTGTAGATAAGCTTTGGCTGGGGAAAGTGGGGTAAGGATGGGGCCCCAGGCGCACGGACAGGCGGGAGAGTGGGGGGGACCTGGGAAGACCCTGGCAGCCATCATACCTGTTCCCAGGCCTTCCATTCCAGGGATGTCGTCCCCAAACCTGCAGGACACAGTGGTCAGGGCCAGTGGCTGGGAAGAGGGGAGTGGGGGTGCGTGGGGGCATACGTGCCCTTGAGTGCCAGCCCCTGGGTCTGCCAGCGCGCCCTGGCTGTGAGTGTGCAGGGACATATGCCGGCGGGTGGGCTGTGGCTGAGTCCCTGAGCGGCAGTGAGCGTGGTCTCCAGATCCATTTGGCAGTAACAGGTAGAGGGTGACAGGAGCCCCCGAGCCCTCCTGCCCCCCATGCTGAGGAATGGGGGCCCTTGGGAATGACCCCAGCCAGGGAAGGGTGGCCGAGCCCCCTGCTCTACAGTGCCCTCCCCCCCCCACTTCTTGTGTAGCCTGCGGCTGGCCCTCCACCAGCTCTGCTTACCCTTGGACGCCTTTCTTGGGGGGCTTGCTCTTGAACTGCCTGGTTTGCCGCTGTTTAAATTTGGGGGGCCCTTTTCTGGGAGTGACAGGCCCCCCCGTCACCCTGGTGGCTGACCGGATCTCGGCCTTGGGTGGCTCCAGGTTCATGGCCAGGATGGCAGAGAGCCCACGGTGACCTCTGGCTTCTAGACTCCCTCACACCGTGGGCTGGACGCACACCAGGCTGGGGGGCTCCTGGTCAGCCCCTTGCTTCCGCCCCCTTGCAGGTCTCAACCCAGCGGAAGAGAGGAAGTCCTGAAACAGGAAACCCAGGAGGCCCTGAGCGTGACCCTGATGGCAGCCCCCCGCCATCTCCACATGGCCTGCACCTGGGGTCAGGCAGGGGGAATGAGAGTACCAGCGGCCCCCCCGGTGCACCCCCCTCAGCTGTCTCCCCTTCTGCGTGCCCCACCCCAATCACTGCGGTAGGGACACTCAGCCTCGTTCCTGGTGCATGCCAGGCGTCAGAGAAGTGGAGGGCAGGGTGCCTGGCAGGGAGGGGTCTGTCTCCGGAGAAGTCCCGAGCTGAGCTGTGCAACCAGCCCCCTGCAGTTTCTTCCCTCTACTGGTAAATCCCCCAGCCACTCACTGTGCCTGGAGACTGCCCTGGGCACACAGTGTCGCCTGCTGGTGTTTCTGAACCCACTGCACAGGGTGACCTCCCCTCTGCCTCTCCCTGGATGCCCTAAACCCCACTGACCCTGCTCAAGGGCAACTCGGCTTCCCCTAAGCCTATTAGCACCAGAGGGCGACTCTAATCCCTCAGGGCTGCCGTGAGCCTAGAAGGTTCTGGGGCTAAGCACAGGACACAGACAGGAGCCCCTGGCACTAGATGCCCCAGGCCCCACCTCATGGGCCCGCTTTGCTGCTCCAGTCTTGTGGGCTACAGCCTTGGGCTACCACCAGCTGCTGGCTAGAGCATCAGGGCTGAGACCGGCTGGCGGGCAAGGCAGGCTGGGTGGTGGGGGTGGGCACCCAGTACCAGGTGCACCCCACCATGGACCTTTCCTCCCTAACATTCATCCTCCGTGCCAGAACCCGCACCAGCCAAGGAGGATGTACGCGGGGTCCAAGGTGACCTGCACCGGTGGTCCCGGCAGCTCAGACCCCATCATGCCCACCCCTCACAGCCTAGATGGTGTAGGCCCAGCCAGACCCCTTCCCCAGTCCCAGGCCATGGGCCCGGTGCACACAGCCCTAACCCAGACGGAACTCCCCCTGTCAGATGCTGGCCTCGTGGAAACCACGGTCCAAGCTCTCCCAGCTGGCCCAGCCGCAGTCCAGTCTCTGGCTGATGACCACTCAAGTTAGCTGAGAGTGTATGGCCTTGGGGACTGCCTGCAACCACCCTTTAATATGGGGGAGCTGAAAGTGACCGGCTGGAGAACCGCTCTGACTAGGACAGTGGACAGACTCCTGCAGATCCAGCCGTCAGTGTGGCGGTGAAAAGCCCAACAATTCCCCACCCTCTGTGCAGATATTCAGCTCCCTTGGGTAAACGGCTGTCAAGAAAGGCAACTGGGGAAGGTCAGTACTCACCAAGCACTGGGCAGGTCTCAGGGGGCCATGGGTGTGAGTGGCCAGATCTCCCTCAGCAGGGGGCCGGCTGGGCATTTATCCTGCTCTTGGGTAAGCCAATTAGGATCATCCTCTGACACGACACTAATGAGATTGTCAGGGCCACTCAGGAGGGTGGCGGGAGGGCACCACCACTGAGGGTCAGGGAGATGAGGGAAGGGGTTCAGGGGCAGGCAAGGGCCTGGGGATGGGGTCGGGATGGAGATAGGATGTGCCGACACAAACCACTGGACGGGCAAGACTCACTCCTGAAGCTGCTCCTCTTGGAAGCCAAGAAGAAACTGCACTGGCTGCTGTCCTGGGTCTCCCCATTTTCAGTTCTCTGATCTCTAAAGAATCTGGCTTCGTGGCCCCCAAAGTCCTGTGTAGTCTGGTCACTATCTACCTCTTTGACCTTACCTTTTATCCCTCCGCCTCACTCTCCATGCTCCCAGCCCCTTCCACCCCAGGACCTTTGCACCTGCTGCTCCGTCTGTTGGTGTACTGTGCACCTCTCCTCGTTCCCTCAGCTCCCGTTCCCTCAGCTCCCTCTTCCTGGGACGTCAGAGCTCTGCCCCAGGACCATTTCCTCAGGGGCGACCCCTCAGGCTTGACCAGGAGGCGTATCTCATAGGACCGCACGGCAGCTGATATAGTTGTACATTGGGTAACACTCGTGGTAACCTCTGTCTTCCATGTTAGAGTGAGTGTGGCAGGTGTTCCTACCGGACCCCAGTGCCAGACACGTCACAGGTGGTCACCCGGCGCCTGAGAGACGAACGAATGAGCAGACAAGACCCGCACCTGCGCGAGTCTCGGTGAGCCTGGTGCTGGGCTGCACGGGCATCCTCGACCGCTGCGTGCTACGTGGGGGAGGAGTCCGCCTCACTGCAAGGAGCCAGGCCAGCGGCTGCCCCTGGGGACAGGATATCGCCATGACTCTTGCATTCCCCAGTAGGGCTGACTTAGTAGGATCCTTCGGATGTACGCATGTACGTGTACCCAGGTCCATACGGAAACCCTTATAAATCTGCATTTTGGGGAAAAATACGGAAAACCTCTACATCTCTGAGATAAGCCACCCCTTCACGGAGCCTCGGAGCCTGCCAAGCTTTGCTGTGCTGCTGTGCCTGGAGGAAGGCTCTCTCTTTCTGGGACGTGTTTGAATCTGTATGAGGACACGTTGAATGAGATGCTCTCTGAGATACAGCCTAATAGATCTGTGTCACCATAAACCCTGTTTCTGGAGGGCACGCAGCTGTCCAGAAAGACAGCCTGAACCATGGGTGTCTAACTAGGCACCGTGCTTTGCTTCCATTCTCTTGCCCACACATTTCTATGTGATACACCAGCTTTCTGTTAAAGGCCCCTACCTGGGAAGGCCTGTTTATCAGCTCAAACCCCTCATGAATTTATGCTAATCTTAGTTTTTTCTTTAAATGAGGAGAGAGAAAACACGCACAAGTTCCTTTAACCCCCGCCCCATCCAGGCCACTGGTTTCAGCGCTTGGAAGTGTTGGGGGAGGGAGGTAAGATGGGACAATTTCCACGATGGGGGTGAGCAGGAGATGGGGACGGGCAGTGAGGACCCTAAGATGAAGTTCTTCCCGGGCTGAATGGTCCCGCGGCCGGGTCTGCAGCCAAGGACCAGGCTAGTGCCGGGAGGCTGATTCTAGGGCTAATGCTGGAGGCCCCTGGGTCCTTACACCCTGATCAACTGCCTCGATCATTGTGTCTAAGTGGGTTGGAAGGACTGGAGGCTCAGGCCCCTGCGGGCTGATCTACAGCTTTCTACCTGGCTGGTGAATGGGTAGCTCCCCAAGGAGCCCTGCAGCTGGAATAATGGGGCCCTTCTCATGCTGCCTACCGGTGTCCATGCCTGCCAAGGACTTTGCCAGCAGCAACTTCATGGAACCAGACAGTCCTCCCTCTGCCACTGAGAATAACCAGAGCTGACCTTGGGGCAGGACTTCTGGGGTGCTGGGACATGGAAGGGGACTCCTGGGGTCGTCGTCACGTGGATCGTCAAAGAAATGGAACTTACTTCACCCTTACAGGTTGGTGAAAGCTGCAGGCTCTCAATAAAAGTTCAACAGCAAGCTGCACCTGCTTTCTTTGACAACGGAACGTAAGCCCTACAGAGAACACAGAAGCCTCCGTCTAATCACCACAGACTTATTTATTCTCAGATAAAGTCATTAAATAATTCCTTCTGTTCCTGTCTGACTCCGGCCTCACGAAGGGCCACAAGTAAAGCTCCGTGCTGCTTCCTGAGAAGGAGCTGTCAGGCTGGAGCCGGCGTGGGTGTTGGGCAAGTCGGCTCAGCCTCCACTCCTCACTCGGAGCTGGATCTCCATCCTGAGGAAGGCCTTGAGGTTCTCGTCAGTCACGTGCTCCTCGAGGGCAGCCAGGGCCCCCTGGCCACCATCTCGGTAATGCCGCAGCAGTGCGTCTGCATACTCCACCCACACACAGTTGGGGCAGCCACTCATGCAGCAGTTTGTGGGGGGCTGGAGCTCAGGCGGCAGGGGATACCGGGCTTCTGGGGGGCCCCCGCCAGGCAAGGACGACTTGGGCTGCCCTGTGCCATCTGCACCTGATTGAGAGCCCTCCTCTACACGGTCCTTCCCAAAATCTCTGTGGCCTTCACGGACTTGGACCCAGGTGTGCGGCCTGTAAAGAACGCTGCCGCCTCCAGGAAGCCTTCGGCACCGGTCCCAGCTGGAGGGTCGACATGGCCCCTAAGAAGACAGATGCTGGTAAGGCCTTGCCGGCCCCCAGCTCCAGGGAAATTTCAGCCTCCTGTCACTGGCAGGGGGCTCCAGGTGCTTCCCCGCTTCCTCATTTCCCAGGAGACCTTAGACAAGTTACTGCATCTGTAGACTCGGTTTCCCCTCTGTAAAGTGGACGTAAGGGCTGGAGAAATGGGTTCAGGGACAGGCACTGGGTGCACACTCCAGCAGATGGTGGGGTGGGGGGTACCCTGGAACCCCACCTCCTTGGGCAGGAATGGGGGCGGGTGGAAGCTTGCGGGCTGGGGCCACACAGCGGCTTCTCCCTCTCCAACCAGTGCAGCCGAGCGCCTTCCCCTCTGACCATGCTGATACTCCCTCCGCAGTATCCCTTGAGCGCCGGCTACGTGCAGTCCCTTGGGGAAGCCGCAGTGACCAAGGAGCTCGTGCTCCTCGCAGGAGTTAGGCAGAATGAATAAGTAAGGGCGGTGGCAGTCAGTGTGGAAGGCCCCGGAGACCCCAGAGCAGGACACAGGACCCTGGGGCCGGGGCCGGAGAAGGGAGGGAAGGCTGCCCGCGGTGCCCGGTGCGGGGGCGGGGGGCTGCCCTCGGGACCTTTGGGGGATGACCTGAGAGGAAGACAGGGATGAAGGGGCTATGCAAGGGATACTGCCGAACCGGCGGCCCAGCGCAGGGCGGCCCTTCCCGCGGAGCCGGGGCCAAGACAGGAACGACACCAGGCGGCGCGGGCCGGGCGTCTCCGGTCCCTGCCGGGCCCCCGCCTCCCGAACGCGCCCCGCCCCGGCCCCCGCCCCGCTGGTACTTGCCGGACCGCAGGCAGCAGCGGCCACCGTCCGGCCTCCCCCAACCAAGCTCCGGAGCAGCATCACCTGCGGCCGGGCCAAAGCGCACGCGCGCCGCAGCCCGGGCCCCGCCCCAGGCGGTGTGAGGGGCGGCCGCTCTGGC